ATTAAATTTTATGAAAATTGCAATAGAATATTTTTTGATTAATGAAAGCATATTGACATATTATAAACATTATATAAAATATATCAATTGATAAATTGATTAATACAATATTAGCAATGCAAAATAAAGTAATTACAAAGAAAATTATAAAATATAAAAAAAGTTTCATAAAAATACTTAAAGATTAATTATTGGAATGTATAATCATTCATATAACAATATAATTATCATATAGCATAAAGAATGTCATTGTTTCTCTTATAAAATATCGCACTATCGAATTCAGATTAAAAAGATAATAATCATCGTTTCGTGTTTATCCGTATTTATCGCATACTTCTGTTTTAACTGATTAAATCGTAGACAACGACGCTCCAAGTTGTAAACAAGTATATTTAAATATAATTATCATTATTCAAAATAATAATCCAATAGTAAGAGAATCCATCATTGTTACTTACATTTGCTTATCGATTTTTTTAATGAAAAATATATTATTGCAGTCGTATAAAAAATAATAGATATCATCTGATGAACAAACAATTCATAATTATAACGTTATAATTGATTTCCAAATTATATTTGCCATCTGACATTTCTCTAAAATTAATATGCATCTTATCAGAAGCTTATATGACAGGAAACAATGATTTTTATCTTGAAATGTTTTTAAATGCATTTATATATTTTTCATATATTTTTTTTGGAATTTTTTGGAATTATCAAATGAGTATTCATATTTTATAATAATAATGTAATAGAGATATCTTTATCAACAAATTATTAATGTTAATTACTAATTATATAATAATTAGTAATTAACATTAATAATTTGTTGATAAAAATATCTCTATTTTTATCTTTTCGAATCGCTCCATAACGTTAATGGCAGTGTTGCTATGAGCACTCACTATAAATTTGACAAGAATCAATATATCCCGAATGACGTGAAAGAAAGATGATACATTTCGTACATTAATCATCTCGAGAGGTTTTACTACAGTTATAATTTTCATTCTGTTTTATTTCGATGTAATCGTCCTTTTCTTAATGCCAAATTTATAATATAAATTTTATGAGATATAAATTTTGTGAGATTATATAAATATATTTCACAAGAATAAAATTAATTTTCCTTTTATAATAGCATTGAAGCTTTAAATAACGTTATCATATTATGAAAAATTTATTGATGCCAAATTTACTGTAAAAATACTAAAATATAAGTAAAAGAATTCATTTGTGTGGTATACGTGAAAAATATAATCTGTTAATAAATGACTTCTCGGATATTGTGTTCATTTATAATATTTTTAGCGAATAAGAAAGTATTTGCGTAATTTTTTGTTTAACTCTCTTTAATCATTAGATGATCAGTGTCTTATCATATCATTTATCGTTATCGTGTAACTTATCATGCTGGGATATTTCTATTATTGATATCTTCTCACACGGCTTTATACGTCACTACATCTATATTTAAACATTTCCTTAATGAACTTAAAAGATTACCGGTATCTATTTAAAGTGTTACAAGGATTTTCGTCCGGGATTATTTTTTTATTCGAAGATGATATCTGTCATATTTACGTCTGTCGTATGTACACGAAAATGTATTGTGAATAATGTATATATATATCGCGAATAATATATAAAAATTAATTTGATAAAGGTAGTTTTCCAGAAATAGCTATATAGTATATACTCGCATTTTGTATGTTGGATCAGTTTTATTAATATATTTCACCAGTTAAATATTTTTATTCGATATAAATTTGGCAGTATATCAGTGAATATTAATCAATATTTCGAATGCCAATGTACTTTATCGATTGTTGAAATTATCATCTCTTATTACATAAAATTCACGAGGCAAATCTTATATAATAAAAATTATTGGCAATAATTAATGCATTTGCAAAAACAAAATTAAAAAATTAAAATTTTCTAAAATTTTTTTTTTTAATATTGAGAAATGTTATTATTATTAAATGTTACATATATGTGTAGATATGTATATTTATATTTTCATTTATATATATTTAAAGTAATTTCTAAGATTTATTTTAAAACTTATATCCGCGCAACTTTACTTTGTAAAGAAAATCGTTCCAGTGTTTTCCGATTATTTTTAGGAGAAATAGTACTTAGATTAAAATTCTATAATTTCAACTTTTCTATTGTGCGTTTTATATTACATCATACAGAAAGTAACAATGTGCATAAGTTGTGCGAGAGACAAGAGATTAAATGTTTTCGTATACAGTTTAAAAATTGGAGAACTTTATAATGTGTAAAGTGGACGCGTCACTCGCACTCCTATGTCACCTTCATACAAAACGAGTATATATTTGTGAATGTTGTCGATAAATTATGCATAAAACGCTTATTTGCATGTGCTTTTAATATCGAACTACATCGTTTGATATATATATGTACTGAGAGCATATGTAAATAAACGTTTATGACAGTTTTTATGCTGTATAATATTGCAGTTCTACGGTATATATAGCAAAGTTGAATGTCATAAGAGCATTAAACTCGGGAGAGCAAGTACCGTCAAAAATGACATCTTTGATGATAAGGACATTAGCGAATGCTTTTAAGTTTTTCTGACTTGTCGGAAGAAATGGAGTCTTAAGAAAAATCCTTAATGACTATCAAATGAATCGTAATGCATCCACATGCTCTGATTTGATCGAAAAATATAGTGTTTTTTACATGACATTTTACATCTTCCATTTATATGACTTTTTTGATGAATATAGGACTCATTATTTTTCAGCAAAAATTTATATTTATTTGAATAGTTCTTTTTTTTTATATTTCTTTCTGTCGCATACGCTTTTAAATATTTTTAAAATCAACTATTAAATGTAAACAAACTGTACAGTTTTAAAATATTACACTTTTATTTTATATTTTTTAAGTTTTGTTTTTTTTTTATAAATATTCTGTATATAAATATTTTTAAACACTGTATTGACGATTGATTTGATTTAATCACATCGAATATATTTTAATACCGCTTATAGAGCAGAAATGTTAATAAATTCTTTCTCTCTCGTTCTCAATCCAGTTAGAAACTATTTTTAAACGATAAAAGGACTAGGCAACTCTTGCGTAAATGTTCAACAGTTCTTTCACTTTGTAAATCAGAGAGTTGACCTTCTTATATGATGGATGGAAAGAACATGCGACATTTGAAATGCATGATTACGAAAGTGTTTAGTATAAAATCGACAATAATTTCGGACTTAAAAAATATTTACACACACATTTTTAACATCTAACGAAATGAAATTACACATAATATTATGATTTTTTGAAGCATATATACGCTTTTTATTTCATTAAATGTTAAAAATCTGTGTGTAAATATTTTTTAAGTCCGAAATTATTCTCGATTTTATACTAAACACTTTCGTAATCATGCATTTCAAATACATATATACCTATACATATACACATATATACTCTTTACATACATATACATATACACATATATACTCTTTATGATAATAATTTTATTATACATATCTAGTTGAATACAAGAGCTTATACTTATTTAACGGCATTTTAAAATAACAATTCTTTATATATTCTTATAATTTTGTTTTTTGAAAATGTTTGATAATATCGTTATGTATGTTTTGCAAAAGTATTTATGTCGGAAATTGATGGGTAATAGATTTATTTAGGAAGGAAGTACATACACGCAGGAGATTGATGGTTGCAATATCCGATTTATCGATAATTCCCACCGAGTATTGTCATGTATGTGATTTCAGATCATATTGTAAAAAATATCTATTTCTCCATCAATATTTACAGCCATGCAGATAGAGCAGGTTATCAATAAAAGCGTGTTATACGGAGACATTATTACAATATTTTTGCTGAGATATTAGTGCTCTCCAAACTTTTTTTCTCACTTTTTAAAATACAAGATTTAGATATTCGTGAGATAAAATTTAATTAGCTAGTGACTATGACATCGTCTCGACCTATAAAGTTTGAATACTTTAGGAACATTACATAATTTTTAGAATAAAGAAATAGAAGAAAGAAAAGAATCTAAAAATTTATAGTACGACGCTACAAAATATTATAGAATACTGTTTTTTTTTCTATTTTATATTTTAGATTTCCTGAAAAATATTGTAGAATTCAGATTCTATCATGAGTTTGTGTGTAAGAAAAATTGATTTTTCTTTAACAAAATGTTGAATGCTAGTTTATTCACCGCTTTTTCACTATCAGCTTTGTATTTCTTGGCGCGAGAAAATTCCAAATAAAAATTCCAACTTCTTATTAAGAATTGCAGTTACTTAAAAGATCAACCAAATTGCGTTTCTAAATCCATTTTTAAAATCTAAAATTTGCACAAGTTTTTTTCTATTTATAATATTAACATGTGTTTCCAATCCTACCTATAAATTTCACATAAAGTTTATAAAATTTTTGTTATAAAAAATTATAACACCCTAAAGACTTTTACCCTGAGGTGATTTTTCATGAATTTAGAGATATATAATCACAGATGCGTATATTTTTTAAAAGAAAATGAGGTGTAAGAGATATGTAATATATTATCACTTCGAAGATTTAAACAGTTTGTCCATGCCTCGCGGCGATTCGGTACGGAATGAAAGGTGTGGTGCGCACGGGGGTATGCACAGAGAATCTCGACGCATGCGTTTCACTTCCTCGTTGGTTACCTTCGTGGAGGTTCACAACGACATCCACCTACACGATCTCGGAATGGCATATCTCGTGCTCGCCTAGAGCAAGCTGGCTGCGCGCGATGTGAGGGTGTGATAAAGAGAGACCGGTGGCAAAGATAGATAGACAGACAGATCAAAAGATGGATAAGGACAGAGCAGAGAGAAGAGGGCGGCGGGATCGAAGGGAGAAAAAGAGGGAGAGGGAGAGAGAGCTGGAGGCAGGAAGAGAGAAAGGGAGAGCGAGAGAGAAGAGAGAGAGAGAGAGATAGAGAAGATGAAACGGAGAGGAGGAATGATCGTCGACTTCGGTGGGCGATCCGGAGCACGGTGCTTTCCTTCGGTTCGCTCTCAGTTTCAATCGCGCGCTCCGAGCTTACTCCGAGAGAGCGCGAATCGAGGACCGGGGATCGAGATAACGATCGATCGAATAAAAAAGATACCGTAGATCGCGCTGGTTCGATGGACCGTTCGGAATGATAAGTTACTTCGAGATATGAGCATAGAGAGATTGGGAGTCACGATCGGCATCGATCGATCGCGATCGCGAAGCTATCGCCGGTCCATCCCCGGGACCGGCTGTCTCCGAGAGGTATCAACGCGTGCAACACGTGCTTTGTAATTAAATAAAAATTTTGCGAGATGGTGACGTTCGATTGATTCTATTTTCAAAGTATATAGTCGGATTATAGTGAGGATTACTTCTTGTCAATGAATAAGCTGCTAGAGAACGTCATGTACGAAAATATGATTTTTATACCGACCACATCTTACAATCGTGAAGGATGTGATTCGATATGCGCGTATTTTTCGCCGTTAAACAAATATCAATTTGATAAAATCTAATAATGATAGTGTGAGATTTTCTTCTCTATCTTTTTTATGGTAAAAGCATTGAAACATCTCGAGTTCGAAATTGCTTATCCGTGCACGTAGTCGTTCCTTTGCCGGCTCTCTCGGTCGAAAAACACGTGACATTTCTCCGCTGAACGCCTTTTCGTCTATATGAAAAAGAATCTGGATCCTTGATCTGTGTACGACTTGACCAGTCTGCTCAATTTTCGATTATCGAATCTTGTAAAGAACAAACAAAAATTAGTCTTAATTAATTGTAATAAAATCTTGAACTTTTCGTCACGAAATAATATTCAATTTTCTTTTTCTTTTTTTTGTAGAAAACATATCTCGCATTATTACAAAGAATTTAATCTCGTCTCGACAGTAACTATAGATTTAAATTAGAATTAGTTATAATTGAAAAATTTGAAGTAAAAATAGATTAATCTGTAATTTATAAAATTTAATTATAATTCACGCCAATTATATTATAAATTATATTATTTTAAATTTAATCCTTTAATTATATAAAAAATTCAAAACGTGAACTCTAAATAAATGTTATAGTATGTTAAATAATGCTAAAAACTTATACAATTTATATACAATTATAAAAAATACATATATTCAAATTCTTTTATTATAATTCCAAAAAAAACTGTTGATTGACGCATTAGCTACTTTCACGTATCAACTTTTACGATCAAACGGTATTTGAAATCGCGGTCGCGTTCGTAAAAATTGTTCTGTTTTTCTTCTCAGCAAAATTAATCAGGAGAATGAGTGTCAGGTCATCGTGCGATGTGAGTCGTAAAAAATCGTGCTAATGTTCCTTTCGCAGTGTTGTGAGTTGACGTGAGAACAGCTGCTACGATAATAAATTCTCAGAGACTTCTCTTACTTCTTGCTTTTTTGACGCTCATATTGGCAGCAGAAGTGAATATATTCGTATACACGTGATAGCTTTTACTTTGCTGCAAAATACCTTTTTTTCATCGCGATAAAGCGTGCTCCGAACCGATCTCCATTGATACGCTGAAGGGTTGTCCATTATTCGAATTTTATATGATCCTATCTTTGCCGCATATAAAAGTTTTAAGGTAGTTTTGTCCTGCAAAAAGATTAGTTCGTAACTATTATACGTAAAACAAAGAGTTATAACACAAGAGGTATAACACAAGAGGTATAACACAAAGTTCATGTTGAACTCTGTGCTTCGCATGCAATATGTTCAACTATTAGAATAAATCAATGAATAATTAATTAAAAAATATCGTCGAATAATTTATTTTATTTATCAGTCATTAAAAGCATAAATTTTGTTAACTTTACACAGAAAGTTTGAAATTAACAAATTTGAAATTAACAAAAATTAAACGAGAGTTAAAGGTCATTAAATGATAAAAACGAGAAAATAATAAAAACCAGAGTTAATGATTATTGATTCTAGTGTGTATGCGCATGTGAATTATTTATTTTACAACTCTATATGTATAATAATAAAAAACAAATGATATTTATATGAATGAGAGAAATTAGTCATTAGATCTATCTTTAAAAAAAATTCTGACTTTATCTTGAACATAAAATATCTTTTTCTCAGCAATAATTTCCAACATTGTACATTCATTATGTAATGCTGAGATGTTTCGTATTATGCGAATTTTATGTAATATATATCGCTTTGTAAACGACAACCTATAAGGCCGCTTAACTTACCTTACAGAGAAATTAGTCGGTACGTGCTTTCCGCAACTTAAACGTGATTATGTCATTCGAAGCTTTCAGTCCAATGAACGCTGCACTTTGAATGCAGTTTACCAAGTGTTGAGTACATTCGGATGTACACAGTCGAAATCTGATTGTCGGCGTGATCAAATTAATCAAATGAGCAACATTGTTCATAAATCTTAAAAAAAAGGCGATTCAATTTTTCACGAGACGTATTTTCTCCTGGATAAAATTTCCTCTTGCCCTAAATTTTAAAAACAGCCTTATTTGCGCTTCAATATGAAACTTTAAAGATTCTGTTATACATGTCGATTATAGTAAATTTTATTAAACGCATCCTATACATCTGGGAGTTTTATATGCGGACGTGCGCATGCATAAAATTAACTGTAAAATTGAGGCACGATCATATGTGCAATTCGACGTAACGTGATTTTAATTTAATTCCGATTCATGTGAATCTCTTATCTACTATATCAAAAATACATTTTCTTTGATGGTATACAAATATAAAAATGCAAAAATATTTCAATATAATTACGAGTGACACTTTTTATGTCGCGAAAGTAGTAGTTCTTCACGTTTCTCGTTTTCGACATGTATTTCAAAGAGATTACGGAGAAAACGGTAATAATGGCAAAATGTCAAAGTTACAATGATACCCATGTCGTTATTCCATCTTGTCGCGAGATCAGCCGAACCATATAGTTAGTCGAGAAACCCCGTCTTGCATTCGCGTTGCGTGTTATATAGTAAATGCGGACACGTGTAAACGTTGGGACGCAATCTCTCGCTCGAGAAATACGTGTGTCGAATGAAAATGCACATATACGCACACATTTATACATGAAAATGATATATGAAAATGATATAATCGCAAACAATTATAAGGTTCGCGTATTTGATAGACTCAGAAAATGCATGACGTAGGTAGAAATTGCTGCAATCAAACTGAAAAAAAAACGAGAAAATTCTTACAATTAGTAGTCTTTTTGCATTATTATCCATATCATAAGACAGAAAAATAAAGAGTTTATAGAAAAAAATGTATTTCTTCTTTGAAAAGATTACAAAAATATTTTAATTAACATAGCTTTTATTGATATTCTTTGATGAATATGCACAGAGCATATATTTGCTTTTCAGAAAAGTTCTGAGAGAATCACATACACACATGCACACATTTATATATATATATATATATTCTTTAAAAATCCTTATATTACTTGATTTAGACTCTGAGGAAAAGTGCTTTAGCTTCTTGTATTTATAAAAGGATCATAAATTCGTAACATCGTAAATTTTATATGAAAATAGTGGTTTCGGTTAAATTGGCTGAAATTGAAATATGTTGTAGTTTAGGTAATGCTGATTAAAAGTTTCCTCGGGTAATAAGTCCGAAAATCAAAAGTATAAAAGATACGATGATTTGAAGTGAGTGATATTGAAGTTTAAATAACGTTTGTTTTAATTATATATATATATATATATATATATATATATATATATATATATAATTTTATTATAGATATATAATTTTTTTTCAAACATTTATATATTAATTTAATTTATGTAATTTATGTTCAAAAACAGGCGTTTTTAAAACTTTAATATCACTTACTTCAAATTATTGTATCTTTTATACTTTTAATTTTCGACTTTTTATCCGAGGAAATTTTTGATCAGCATCACCTAAACTACAACATATTTCAATTTCAGCCAATTTGATGGAAGTCACTTTTTTCATATAAAATGCATGGAATCCTTTATATACACTTTCCCTTGTTAAATAACGTAGTAGATTAAAGTGTTCTTGAAATCTCTGCTTAGGTTCTCCATATTTGCATGCTCTTTATTTATGTATTTTGCGATTTGATATATGCGATCATTTCTTTTTAATTTGTCAATGGAAAATTTATAAGTTATTTTAACGAAAACAAGAAAATAACGGATATAAAGGAGCAAAGCATCCCTAATGTTTTGAAGCATATAAGATAAGAATATATAAGATAAGAATTATATATAATTTTTATTTTAAAATAAATTAAATGCGAAAAAATATGCAAAAGTCATATCTTGTATTTTCTTGTATATATTTTTTTGCTAAAAAATTTTATCTGTATATATATATTTATATTCTTTTTTCCCTGATTTCCATATTTATGAAAATTTCACACCAGATGGATCTTTTTGAATGTAAAGCTTTTACCATATATACGTTAATTTCTTATTATGATTTCTATTAAAATATTTATTAAATAGTTACATATACAAATTAAAGAGAGTTGCGTGTCTTTAAATTTTAGTTATTACTTTTTAGCTATCGTTAGTAAATCAAAGTTTTATATGTTTTTCTTCAACAGCAAATATATTTTCTAAATATATATGACATCGATATGATATCGAGTTAGTACTCAAAGAAAAAACATCTCATTCGCTTTCGGTTACTCAGTTATATATGTGCGTAAAGAGAGAAAATTCTTTTAACTTTTAGAAAATATATCCTAATTATATGTATATAACAAATCGTTATAAAAAAATACAAGAATACTTATATCAGGTAATTTAGCATGCATACAAAAATAAAAAAAATAAATAATAACAATTAGTATATAATTTTCTTTAAATATTAATTAAATAATATATAATAACAAATAACAAATATATATATATATATATATATATATATGGGCAAAAAAATAAGAACAAAATATGGTTTGTGTATGACTGAAAACTTGCGCGCCGATTATTTTTCAGAAAACTGAATAAAAGTTTAAAACGACATATAAATTCTTCAAATTTTTCTCTTCAAGCTATGGTATCGAGAACATGACATTTGCAAGTATTCCCCGAGTTTGCTTCATAACATTAGATATTTGCTTTGAGACATCATACATAACGACTTGCCGAGTACGCGACGAAAGATGACAGAACATTTGCGAGTAGAGAAGTTATTGAGATACAGGCGCGACAGATACGAAGCCACAAAGTTGAAAAAGATGGGATGGAGTCATCCTCGAGTAT